TTTGATGATCTCCAAGGTCTTTTCCAACCAAGTTCATTCTGTGGTCCTGTGATCACCCCTGACCCTGTGTCCTGTGGGACATGTTCCTGCTCCTTCATGGCCCTGATCAGGGCTTTGGCAAAGCTGAGCCAGATCAGCTTTTTTCTCCACTATGCTGGAAAATAATCTCAAGAGCACTATGGCACCAAGTTTGAAAACTGCAGGTATTTGTTTACTGAGACATTTTGCTCAGGTTGTCCCAGGTCTGTTCAGCCACAAACCAAACTCTTTCAGCTGTAGAATACACTTTAAAGCCAGTTGTACAATGAAGGAGATCAGGGAAGAAGTACAAAACGTTCAGGGTTGTTCTGGGCTCTTCTGAACACAGGAACAGGGGAGGAATTGCCAGAGAAGAAACACCAGTGACCACATCTCCATTATTTCCCAACCCACCTTTATGCTTTTGTTTATTCCATTTCATTATAGAGAATGGAATGATTGCATGAACAACCCTAACAAGGTGTTGTGAAAAGATCAGCTGTTTCCTCAAGCTCCACTGTGCAACTCCAGCACGGGCAAAACCCCTACTGAATGTGTAAAAAGGAGATATCCCAGCCTAGCCAAAGGGACTTTAAACTAGGAGAAGCACAAGCAGATAAGGACTGCTTCCCTCATCAGGTTCTTTAACCTGAGCCACGTTCTCCAAGGTTACTGCAAGGGAGTTGTGTTTATCTGGCAGGAATTGCACAAGAGCTGGCATTCTCTTCTTGCCAATATCAGGGTGCTACTCCCTTTCCCAGCTCTGGATGCCAGGAGCAGGTGATTTGTGACTGCTTTACCCTCGTGCTTGGCAGGAGGCACCACCCTGGGCTCACAGCCTGGTGGAAAGCAGCAGCAGCAGCTGCAGGGAAGGTGGGCATGGACAGCCCAGGACAGGATTAACCCCAAGCCAGAGCTGAGGAACGTGCTGCTTGCACCACGGCGTGCCTCAGAGGAGGTGACTCAGCAGCAGCAGACCTGCACCTGAGGGACAGCAGTGGGGACACAGCTGATCCCACGGGCTGTATCCCTTCCTGTTGTGCCAGCAGCAGGTGGGGTTGCAGTCCTGTGATGTCTCAAATGAGAACATGAAAGGCATCCAGCAGCAATGCTGCCTAATGTCTGTGAAGTGTGAAGCTAACAAGCAACACACCACACCAGAAGATGTAACTTTTGATCCTTAAAGGGCCCCAGAGGCCAAGAAAAATCCGGGGTTTGGGGGTCAGGCAGAGCCCAGGATGACTCGTTGGCTGGAAACCTTGGCCTTCCATGTCACACCTTGACCAGCCCAGCTGGACACACATCCCTCTGGGAATGTGGGATCCCAGAGTGGTTTGGGTTGGAAGAGGCCTCAGACATCACCTCATTCCACCCCCTGCCAAGGCAGGGACACCTTCCACTGTCCCAGGCTGCTCCAAGCCCTGTCCAGCCTGGCCTTGGGCACTGCCAGGGATCCAGGGGCAGCCACAGCTGCTCTGGGCCCCCTGTGCCAGGGCCTGCCCACCCTGCCAGGGAACAATTCCTTGCAATATCCCATCTAAACACAACCTCCTTCAAGTCCTCAAAGGTCTTCATTCCTCCCTTTGACTAAGCCACACAAGAGTTCCTCAGTAAAAATACAGCAGCTTTTTTTTTTTTTAGAACCTTCTGTCCTTCCACCACAGGTGGAATAACCCCAGGCGCTGAATCACTCACCTCAGCACTGACACAGTGCTCCCATGGCCTCATTCCACAGCCTGAGGATGTCAGAGAAGTCTCTGCTGCCTTTCCAACCTCTACTACTATTAATTTATCACTACTATCACTACTACTTAGTACCTCCACTAGAGAACAAGGAGTGAAGTTAGAAGGCAGCAGCGTGGGCAGCAGGGGAGGGGGGATTCTGCCCCTCTGCCCCACTCAGGTGAGACCCCACCTGTGCCCAGTCCTGGTGCTCCCAACATAAGGAGGGATGGAACTGCTGGAGCAGGTCCATGGAGCTGCTGAGGGGTCTGGAGCATCTTCCCTGTGGAGCCAGGCTGGGAGAGCTGGGAATGCTCAGCCTGGAGAAGGGAAGGGTGTGTGGAGACCTCACAGCTCCTTCCAGGGCCTGAATGGACACAGGAGAGCTGGAGAGGGACCCTGCATCGGGAAAGATGCAGATCTGTCCCTGGAGTGACACGACACAGGGAATGGGTTCAAACTGCCAGAGGGCAGGGATGGATGGGATTTTGGGAAGGAATTGTTCCCTGGCAGGGTGGGCAGGCCCTGGCACAGGGTGCCCAGAGCAGCTGTGGCTGCCCCTGGATCCCTGGCAGTGCCCAAGGCCAGGCTGGACAGGGCTTGGAGCAGCCTGGGACAGTGGAAGGTGTCCCTGCCATGGCAGAGGTGGAATGAGCTGAGCTTTAAGGTCCTTCCAACCTACATCCCACGACTCTCTGACTCTTTGCAGTGGGATTTTAGTGCTCACAGGCAAGGGAAGACATTTCCAGGAGCCCAGATCAGGCAGAGGGGAGGTAAGGAAGGAGTGAAGGTTGTGGCCAGGCCTGCCATAAGGAGGAAGGCACCCGCAGAGCCCCTTTGTGCCAGCAGCTGTGGCAGCCAGAGGAAACTTCAGCGCAGCGATGGAGCAAGGTGGTTTGTGTTTCACAACCCACATTCCCTGCCTCGGGAGGCAGCCTGACCCACAGCCAGGGAAGGCACACACCAGCAGAGCCAGCCACAGGCTCGGGCTCCCAGGTGGCTACCAGGGCAGGGAAAGGTGTGGGCTGGCAGTCACGGGCTGCAGGTGGGGTGCAAACACCTTGGCACTGGCAATTCCTGTGGCTTTGGCCGAGCAGGGGTGTTGCACCAGCTCTGCCCCACACCTCTGGCTGCTGGTGACACCTCCAGCCTGGTGCTTTCCCAGAGAGCCCTGCAGAGCTTTTGTGAATTGCCCCTTGATAACACAACACTCTTGGACCTTACTGTCACTTCTCATGAGGAATGGGATGCCCAAGTGTCTCCCATCCAGGCAGTGAGGCCTGGCCTGTCCTTGGGGTGTCCTTGGGGAGCTCAGCATGCTGCTGAGGCTTTGGAAAGGTGGGAGTGATGCCTTAAGAATGATGCCTTAAGTTTTAACTTTTATATTTTTCAGATTCTGTTCTGCTTTGGTGTGTAGTTCTGAGCTTCACATTAAGGCATGGTGAGCTCCCTGCACAGAGTAGGTGACAAAACAATTCCTGCTCCAGCTGGGGACCAAGGACAAATGATCCAAATTTCAGGCCCAAGAGCACAAACAACGGTGAATTGAAGAGAGAAAAACAAGAAGGATGGGACTTCATAACCTGAAGGTATAATTAGACAATTAACTCCAATATGCAAATGGAGCAGAACTGATCAAAGTGATAGATCCTGTGACCTGGTGTCCATTTTGTGACCATTTTGGTTCATCCTGGGTGCAGCCCTGGCTGGGCTCTTGTGCTGCCCAAGGTGGATCCATGGAGGCCTTTTAATAAATCCCTGCTTTATTCTTTAACTCTGTCCAGCCTCTGTTCTAGGTCAGCTTCTCAAGACATCACTTCAGACCAAGCTTTTTTGTTACCCCAGGAACTCTTCTAAATGACCCTAGGAGATAGGAAATTACCCTGAGAGTTAGGAAATGACCCTTTACAAAGAAAAGCTGTTAGTTTTTTGTTTTGTTTTGCCTTTTTTTTTTTTTTTTTTTACCCTGGCTTGTTGGCTTTTTTCTTTTCCACCCTGGCTATCAAGAGCTTAAGGTGCAGCTCCATAGCTGGAATTCCTCAGCACACCAACCCGGCTGCCTCTGCAAAACCGCAATCCTCGGCAAGCACGAAAGCCACGTGGAGCCTCCCATGAAGGGAGGTGCCACAGGAGCCATCAGCACCCACCTGTTAATTGGAGCACACGTGAACAGCAAGTGCCAGCGTGGCTGGGCTCTGACACAGCGTGGTCCTTTTAACTCTGGTGATGACAGAGCCACTGGCCCTGCCACCACCAGCCTGCTCAGACGTGCCACTGGGCTCTGCCTGGTAACGTGTTTCCCTCCGTGTCCTTCAGATTTGTGTCCTTTTGGAGCTGCCCCAACAGGGGGGAAAAGCATCGCTCGATCTTTTTTTTATTTTTGGTCTTAACTGGCACCGTGGTGACACCACAGGTAGGTTTGCTGGGAGTGTTTCAGAGGGTAGGAAAGTCTCGTGGTGTGGGAGCAGAAGGAGGGAGGCAGGGAGTAATTCACAGTTCATGCTGCTGGGCTGAAGTTAGGCTCTAACTTTTGAGAGCCTGGCAAAACATTAGAAATCATATGTAATGTTAAGTGTGTGCATTAAAAATAGGCCTCTGCTCAGCCCAGGAGAATTTGAGGTGATCAGAAAGGTTTCTGTTTCTTTTTCAGGCTACACTTATTTAACCAATAGCCTTCCTGTGAGGCTGTACCAGTTTCAGCTCATAGGATCCTTCTGTTTACAGTGGGTTTTGAGTAGAAAAGCTAATCAATAGAGAAACACGAAAAGTATAGACATAGTCATAGCCCAGCCCTACTAAACATGTTCTTTCCATAGCATAAACTCCCCCTTTAGGTTAATTTCCTCTCTGAGACAACTGGCCCAGTCTGGGATTGTCCCAGTATTGCTTTAGTTCTTGTTTTGCACAGCTGGTTCTCTTCTTCTTGCCATTAAAAACATTAAAAAGGCTCCTGCCTACTACCAGATCCTGTCTGTACAATATAAAAATTATCATGTGGACTGCAAAGAAAATTGAAACTGGGAATCCCTCCACTTTCCCAGCCCAGAAAATGATAGGTGATCTTCAGATATGTGAGGAACTTAACACATCCCAACCAAGTAGGAACATTCACATCAATTCCAGTAACAATAACAATCAACAATAATTACAACAACAGCATCCGTGTTACCGGTTTCGCTGTTGCCATTCCTGCTGTTGCTATTATTGCTGTCATTATCATCATTTGTTGCTGTCACTATTATTATTTACACAGGCACACGATGTGGCTGCTCATTGCAATCCTGCTCCTCGTACAAGCACCCACGAGCTCCGAAGGTGCCACCAAGCAGAAGAAGGCTCTAAACCCCGAGGCTCTCATGAACGTTGTAAGCCAGGAGAACTTTGAATTTCCTGTCTGAAGGCTTGGGCACGTTCAGCTGGAGGAGAGAGAGGCTTGGAGAGGGCTGGTGTTGTTGAGCTGCTGCGATATGATGCTGCCTCCACGCCATCATTAACAAGCTCCTCCTCCCAGCAGAATTAAGCTCAATTACCAGCAGGGCAGTTAGAGATGGGGATAATCCCACACTGGATTTGATCAGGTGTCTCCCCAGAGGGTAGAAATTTGTGCATGGCTCCTCTCCTTCAGCAGCAGCAAAGCACTCAGGGCCATGTCCAGGTGAGCCCTGCGAGGCTCTGAAGCTGGGTTATGAGATAAAATTGCTGCATTTAATCTTTCCTGCCAATCTCATAACAAAGCAACCTGTGGGCAGGACCACAGCTGGATTTGCTCAGTCTGTGGAGTTTTCAGCATAAATAAAGCTCAGGCAGAGCCTCTGGAGCCCTGCAATGGATCCTGTGGGGTTTATCCCAGTGCCCTTCCAGTCAGCCCAGGAGGGCAGGTTCCATGTTTCCCACCTGGGTTTTTCTTCCCCCAGAGCCAAATCATCTGCCACAGAGGGTACCCCAGTGAGGAGTATGAAGTGCTGACTCGTGATGGCTACTACATCCACCTGAACAGAATTCCTCATGGAAGAGAAAAGCCTAAGAACAGAGGTACAGCTCTATTTCACTCAGAGCCAGCCAAAAAAAAGCCCTGAACATCAGCAGGGGAATGGATGAACCTGGACAGGCAGGGGAATAGTCATTGTTAAAGCAAAAATACAGAATCTGTGGGATTTCTCCAATTTACACTCAAAGCTGGAGCACCAGAAGACATTGTCAAAATGCACATTCTGCACGTCCTCTGGCAGTGCAAGGCAGAGGCTTTACTGGCCTTAATTCGGGGTGAGTGAATAGAGAGAATGTGGCTCAATGAAATGTGCTGTTTCTTTTGCACCCAGGGGCCAAGCCAGTCGTGTTTCTCCAGCATGGGATATTTGGAGAAGGCAGCCACTGGGTGGAAAATCTGGCTAACAACAGCCTTGGCTTCATACTAGCAGACTCTGGCTACGATGTGTGGCTGGCAAACAGCCGGGGGACCAGCTGGTCCCGGAGACACCAGCACCTTTCAGCTGACCAGGTGGAATTCTGGGATTTCAGGTGGGCTGGAGCGCGTTACCAAAGCCTGGCCATGCTCTCTGCCTGTCACCAGGCTCTAGGCAGAGGTGGGTGCCTCTGAGCAGGTGTGTCAGAGCACCTAATCCCTGGCAGAGCCTTCCCCAGGGAGGATGGAGGGGCATGAGCAGACCTGCCTGCTGACACGGTGCCAGCACCTCCCTGCAGCTGCCGAGAGCACGGGGCACTGCCACCTGCGTGGGGACACACAGAGACATCAGCCCTGTCTCAGAGGCCTCCACTGAGCTGTCCACAAGTGTCATTGCCACCTCCCCTGCTCCCAGACCTTGTTGCCATTTGTCCCCCTTTTTTAAGCTGCTACTGCCTCTCCAGAGCTGATCCCCAGAGCAGAATCCCCATGCTCATAAAGAGGCTTTTAGAAAAACCTCACATGGCAGGTGTGCCTTTCACCACCTCCCACCAACAGGCACACGGGCAGGAGCCAGTGCTCCATTCCCCTGGGGAAAAGAGCATGCCAGGGAGCAGAGCTGGTGCTGTGATCCTGGTGGGAGCCAGCTCTGGCTCTGCACAGAGGCTGGCTATGGCACTGGAATGTTGGCCAGGCTCTGCACAGTCTGTTTACTGCTCACCACCGTGGGAGGACTAAGCCCTTTCAGGGGAGGATGATGCCATGGTAGGAGGGATCCATGCCAGGAATTTTCCCCTGGAAAATCAGCCCTGGATGTGGAGCTGGGCCACGCAAGGCAGCTCAGGGGAAGCTGCTGCCTCACAACCAACATCCCCCTCCTGTGCTGCAGCTTCCATGAGATGGCAATGTTCGACCTCCCGGCCGCCATCGACTTTGTGCTGCAGAAAACGGGGCAGAAGCAGCTCCACTACGTTGGCTACTCCCAGGGCTGCTCAGTTGGTGAGTTCCAAAGGGTCACCCACCACCTTGACTCGAAAAAATCCATTTTGGTGTTTTTGTCAGCAGAAAACAGAGGGCTCCCCTCCTTGTGGGCTTAAAAACCACTGAAGTGCCTGATCAGCCAAGGGAATAAAGGTGTTGCCTTCCTTTGGGAATCTCTTGCACCAACATTTAGCAGGAAGGCGACAGGAGATCTCAGATTTCCAAGCGGAGATAATCAATTAAACAGAGCTGGGTCCAAGTGAGCCCTCAGATTAAGCACCTGAGGAAAAATGGAGCAAGTCTGAGGTTGTTTTTTCTGTTTTCTCAGCGTTTATTGCATTTTCATCCATGCCCGAACTGGCTCAGAAAGTCAAAATGTTTTTTGCCCTGGCTCCAGTAGTGTCACTCAAGCACACCAAAAGTCCATTCATGAAGATGCAGCTCCTTGTGGACAACAAGCTCAAGATGATTCCGGTAAGGGATTACTCCACGCCCTTCTGCCCCAAAACTGACTGGTTCTAGGGAAGGGATCATGCCCAGACACAGCCCCTGGGGCTCTCTGATGCAGCAGAAAACAGTTAATTCCTGATGATTTATTAGCACAGACACAATTCAGGCACACGTACAGTCCTGGATGGCCCTGTTGAGTGCGTGTCTTCTTTCCATCTGTAGGATAAACATGGTCTTTATACAGGAAAAAAATCACATGGGACTCCATTTTCTTCATGGTGGGAAAAGCCCCTTCTTTAGTTACACAACTCCTTTTTAAACAGTTTTACAGACCTCATGTGTGACTCCAATTGGTTAGCAGCTTTCTTGCCAATTACTTCATTGGTAATTAACAAGCTGTTACCCTGTATTGATTGGTCACTCAAACCCCCGGTGTGTACATGCAGGAAAAGTTGTTTGTGAGAGGTAATTTTAATTTTAATATCTAATGGTGTAAAAACAGTTTATACAGGTGCTGGCTGTTCTTTACCCAGTGACAGATTGTTACGTTAAGGAACTGCTCACCCCAGGATTGCTTTCATGTGGGAGCTTGCAAAGGGCTAGCTTGACTTAGTAGAAATGACTACTAAAAGTCATGCTCTATAAAGCCAGAGCAGGCTTGGTTTTGTAAGGCTTTTCTTTATAATTTTTCTACCTTACTGCAACAGGGGCACTTGTAGTGCCCCTAGTCCAAACACCTGGAGAAGAGCATCCTTGCCATGTTGATTCCATGAAAAACAGACCCTGTGCTTGGGGGAGGTGGGAGGAAAGAGAGTTGAGAACACTGATTTCCCTGCTGTGTGTTCAGTCAGCACCAACTCCTGCTGTCCACATCCCTGTGGGGCAGGAGGGCAGGGGAGGCTTGACTGCTGGGTATTCCCTTCACTGCCTGGCTGGTGGGACAGCCCAGGGCTGGGCTGCCGGGAGGGGACAGCAGGGAACCCCCTCGGTGTGGCCCTTTGCCCCCGCAGGCGCTGCTGGGCAGAACGGACGCGTCCCTGCGCATCAGGAAGCTGTGGCGCTTCCTCCCGGAGCTGTGCAGGCACACGCTGCTGCACAGGCCCTGTGCCAGCCTCTTCTTCCTGCTGGGCGGCTACAACGAGAAGAACCTCAACATGGTGGGTGTGCCACTCCAGTGGGGACAGGGCTGCTGCCGTGCCACCCGCCCTGCCCGGCCTGCTGCAGCCACTCGCCCCCAGTGCTTGCAGCAAGCAGACCCTGCATGGGCAACACGTGTCCCTCTGCCACATGCTTTTCCTCCTGGGACAGGAAAAGTCCCCCAGGCTCTGCTGGGTAAATGTCAGTGGCCAGGTGGGCCCTGCCAGCACCTCTGAATGAGGGGTGCCTGTCACTGCCACCACCCTGGGGTGCAGTTTCTGTGACCCACCTGCTGAAGCAGCCTCAGGTGACCTCAGGCAGTCACTGAGGCCTTGCTAAGGTGTCTCACAGAGCTCATCCTTCATCCCCAGCACTCTCCTCCCCATGCTGCCTCACAGCAATTGGTTTTTAATGAAAATTATATTCCTGAGGCTGGTCCAGGCAGTGTGATTCAGCAGTGGCTGCTCTGGGAAACACCTGGCAGCTGCCACTGCACTCCCATCCGCTGGAAAGTACCTAAAGCTGGGATTTGTTTCCTTGCAGACACGGCTGGACGTGTACACATCCCACTATCCAGATGGCACCTCTGTCAAAAACATCATCCACTGGGCCCAGGTAGGATCCCTGACACATGGATGCTTCACCCCTGGGGTGGTCCCTGCACTGAGAGCCAGGGCAGCCACAAGAGCTCAGGGCTCTCAAACATTGGGAAAGTAAAGGCAAGAAATTAGAAGAGGTGCTGGGTGCAGGATGAGCTGCCCTGGTGCCTCTGGGGACCAGGGACACTGCAGTCTGTGTCCTGGGTTGGGCCAGGCAGGACAAGGGACACGATGGGGAGGCCACAGATGGATGCTGGATCCCCCAGGAGTCACCAAGGCAGAACTTGAGGACATCGTGGTGCTGATGGGAACTGGATGAGGAGGAAAATGGGGAGCCAACAACATCTCCCCCTGTCCAAAGGGGTGCTGGACACCCTGGAGATGGACTCTGCAGCTTCAGCACTGGCCCTGCTGGAAGTGGGGTCAGGCTGGAGACCCCACCTATGTGCATCCTTGCAGAGCCAAATTATTGGAAATGGAAGGGGGAAAAGGGCAATCAGGTTGTTGAAGGAGCTGCAGCAGCAGCCTGCACACACAGCTGGTGGTGAGCAGGATTTCAGAGGGAAGAGTGTGGCACCTGGGCAGCCAAGGGGTCACGTGGAGCACCTTAGTTTGTCACCCCATAGATAGGGACAGGCATGGAGCCAGACGTCAAAAAGCCACCCTGTTAAAAAAGTGGAATGCCATCTCCTCCTGCAATGTCCCACGGGTGAGGACACCAACATCTCTCCTTGTCCTGCCTGTCCCCAGCCAGATGGCAGGTTGGAGATGGGCACATGGAGGGCGGGGACTTACACAAACCCTTTCTGAGCACCCTCTCATGATGGGTGCCTCAAAGGGGCGGGAGATGTGAGACTCACACAGAAGCAAATCCATCCTCCCACAGCAGATCCATCCTCTCCCAGCAGGTCCATCCTCCCACAGCAGATCCATCCTCTCACAGCAGGTCCATCCTCTCACAGAAAGTCCATCCTCTCACAGAAAGTCCATCCTCTGACAGCAGGTCCATCCTCTGACAGCAGGCCCATCCTCTGATAGCAGGTCCATCCTCTCACAGCAGGTCCATCCTCTCACAGCAGGTCCATCCTCTCACAGCAGGTCCATCCTCTCTTCCCAGGTGATAAAATCCGGAGAATTCAAAGCCTTTGACTACGGCAGCGAGAACGCAGCTAAGTACCACCAGGTAGGAGCTGCCTGGCAGTGCTAGCAGCTGGAGAAGCTGGGGGTCAGTCCAGGGTGGTGCAGGGACAGAATGGCTTCCTTGAGCACCTGAGAGCCCCCCGTGTGCCCCCAGGACACACCGCCCTTGTACCGCGTGGAGGAGATGCCGGTGCCCACGGCGGTGTGGTCGGGAGGGCAGGACTGGGCAGCTGACTGGAGGGACGTGCTGCAGCTGCTGCCCCGCATCAGCCACCTCGTCACCTACACCCACATCCCCGACTGGAACCACTGGGACTTTGTCTGGGGCCTGGATGCCCCTGGGCGCCTCTACAGCAGCATCCTGAGGCTGATGGAGGGGTCCCGGTAGAGCGGCGGCTCCCGGGGGAGTGCTGGTGGCCTGGCCCCTGTCCCTCAGCTGAGACAGCCCCAGGAGAGGGTGGGACACTCCCTGCTGTCCCCTCCTTCCTGCTGGCCTGACACGCTTGTGGTGATGGTGCTTTCCCCGCGTCCCTTGGTTGTTGGGGTCTGTCCTTCTTGCCTGGGAGCTCCGCTGGCACCGTGCTGGGAGGGCAGCACCGGGCTCGGCCGAGGCACCGGAGCAGGCAGGAGCCACCAGCCCTGCTGGGAGAGCCCCAACACGCTGGCGTTGACCCAGGGACACACGGGGACCCTGCCATGACCCCAGAGTGGCTGCTCAGTGGGTTGTGAGGAGCGGGAGGCAGCTGGGCCTGGTGAGTCTGGCTGTGGGGGGACAGGCGGAGAGCAGCCCCCAGCCGTGGCACTCAAAGGAATGCAGGGGATGCATGAGACCAAACCCTCCTTGGCAGCAGCCACAGGAGATGCAGCGAGATGTTCTGGCCCCAGATTGCAGCCTAGGGGGCTCAGGTTGGATTTGGAGAATCCTTTTCCCCAAGACAAGTCCCCAGGAAGTGGAAGGTCTCCATCTGTCCCAAGGCAGGCAGCTGCCTGCATTATTTGGGCAGGAGCTCAGGGACCAGGGGTCCCCGGGAAAGGCTGCTCAGCACTGAGACACTGGGAATGATCATCCCTGTGACTGGTGTCCCCAAATGGCCTGGGCTGGGCTGCAGGGCCACCGTCCCCCCAGGAAGCTGCTGCCAGGCTGATGTCCCCAGCCCATCCCACCTTGCTGCTTGCTGCAAACCCGGAGATGGGGAAAATCCCTCCTAAATAAATACTCAAAGAGGGTTTCAGGAGCCTGTGCTTTGACACCCCCAGCTCTTCCTTGCATGGGAATATTTTCTGGGGAGCTGGCAGGGCCAGCAGGGACACAGGGCCAGCTGGTAGAGCTGGGTGGCACCATGGGTTCTCAAAGGGTCCCAGCTGGGAGCATCCCAGTACATCCATTACCCTACCCCACCCCTGAGCAGGGGGCAGGAACTCTTGCTGGCAAAAAAAAAATCAAAAAAACAAACAAACAAATCAAAAAACAGCCTTGGGAGTGGAGAGTTTTATTGTATTGAAGGTTTGGGAATCACGGGTGGGCAGGAGCGCTGGCACTGGCCCTTGGGGCAGCTCTGCTGGGATGTGTGCGGCGGCACCGCGGGGCGATGGGCACCCACTGCTCCCCCACCTTGCCAGGCTGGCCGGCCCCGTCTAAGGTGGACGAGCGGGAGCAGAATGGGAGAGCAGGAGGGTGGGGAGGTGGTCCCAGGGCTGCCCCTATTCCAGAAGGATCCCCTCTCCCCCCCGGCCTCCCCTGCCCTCCATGGGCGCAGGCAGCTGCTTCCTCACCCACCGGGACCCACGGACACCCATCCGTGCCTCCCTCCATCGCTCCCTGCCCGCTTCCCTCCGGGCCGGGCTCGGGCGCTCCAGGGGCGGTGCCGTTGGCGGCGGGCGGTGCCGGCGGCGGCGGAGGGCGGTACCGGCCGGCGCGGGCGACCATGGAGGGCAGCGGGGGGTCGGCGATCGGGGTTCGCCCCGGGGGCGCGGGGGTCCCGCTGCGCCCCCAGGGCTCCTCCGCGGGCACGGCTCGGCGTGACCCGCTCTCCCTCCCGGCAGCGTCGGGGCTGGCGGAGATGGGGGCACACTGGATCCACGGCCCCTCGCCGGGGAATCCCGTGTTCTGCCTGGCCTCCCGCTACGGCCTGCTGGGCCCGGAGGCCGCCCGCGAGGAGAACCAGCAGGTGGAGGCGGGGGGCCACCCCCCGATGCCGTCCGTCACCTACGGCAGCTCGGGGAAGGTGCTGAACCCCAAGGCAGTGCGCGAAGCCCGCGACCTCTTCTACGCCCTCCTGGCCTCCACCCGCGCTTTCCAGGGCTCCAAGGAGCCTCCGTGGCCCAGCGTGGGCCAGTACGTGCGGGCAGAGATCGCCCGGACGGTGCCCACCATGGCGGGCGGCCAGGAGGATGCCCGGCGGCTGCAGCTGGCCGTGCTCGCCGCCTGCCTCAAGCTGGAGTGCTGCATCAGCGGGACGCACAGCATGGACCTGGTGGGCCTGGAGCCCTTCGGGGAGTACGTGTCGCTGCCCGGCCTGGACTGCACCTTCCCAGGGTAAGCGCGGGGCTCCGGAGCGGCGCACGGAGGAGCGTGCCGGGGGCCGCCCCGTCCCCAGCCGTGACTCCTCCCGCAGAGGCTACAGCAGCTTGGCCGAGCGCCTGCTCTCGGATCTGCCCGAGGGCACCGTGCTGTTCAACAAGGCGGTGAGGACCATCCACTGGCAAGGGTCCTTCCGAGAGGAAGGGGACGATGGCAGGGTGTTCCCCGTGCGGGTGGAGTGCGAGGACGGAGACGTCTTCCTTGCCGACCACGTCATCGTCACTGTCCCGCTGGGTGAGGACACCAACACCTTCCCCTGCCCTGCCCTTGCCCTCCCACCAGCTGGCACGGTTGGAGACGGGCAAGTGGAGGGCAGGGATTGCCTAAACCCCTTCCCAGCCTCCCCTCTCCCACTGGGAAGAGGTTGGGAAGGGGTTTGGGGAGGTCAGAGCATCTCAGACGCCATTTAGGAGCCCGGCTGAGAGCCTGCCCAAACTCGTGGCCGCAGGTTTCCTCAAGGAGCGCCACCAGGAGTTCTTCCAGCCCCCCCTTCCCGAGCGGAAAGCACGGGCCGTTCGCAGCCTGGGCTTCGGCACCAACAACAAGATCTTCCTGGAGTTCGAGCAGCCCTTCTGGGAGCCCGAGCAGCAGCTCCTGGAAGTGGTGTGGGAGGACGAGTCGCCGCTGGAGGAGCCCGACGCTGACCTGGAGGCCAACTGGTTCAAGAAGCTCATCGGATTCGTGGTGCTGCAGCCGCCAGAGCAGTAGGTGCCCGGGGATTCGGGGCGTGCTGGTGGGCACGGGGAGGGGCAGAGCTCTCAGCGCCGCCTTCCCGCCCCAGGCACGGCCACGTCCTGTGCGGCTTCATCGCGGGGAAGGAGTCGGAGCACATGGAGACGCTGAGCGACGCCGAGGTGCTGAGCGCCATGACCCGCGTGCTGCGCACGATGACAGGTGCCCGCCCCGCCCTCCCTCCCCGCCGGTGCCCCGGGCATCTCCCGGTGCTAGCCCCGAGCCCCGTCCGCAGGGAACCCCGACCTGCCCGCGCCCCGGAGCGTGCTCCGCTCCCGCTGGCACAGCGCTCCCTACACCCGCGGCTCCTACAGCTACGTGGCCGTCGGCAGCTCGGGGGACGACATCGATGTGCTGGCACAGCCCCTGCCCGAGGACCCCCGCGACCCCCGGGTGAGGGCTCAGCCCCAGGGGGGGACGGACAGACGGATGGCGGTGGGGACAGGGAGGTGGCGCTGCTGACCCTCCACGGGGAGGGGGCATTCCCGCAAAATCCTGGACAGGCGGCTCCTCCCCGCCTGCTGGGGGCGCGGGCCGGGTGCCTGGGGAAGGGAAAGTGCCCGGGTTGGGTTTTACAGCGGTCGTGCCCCGCGGGGCGAGGCTGCCCCAGCCCGGCCCGGCCGCTGCGCTCACCCCCCGCCTCTCCGCAGCCCCTGCAGCTCCTCTTCGCCGGCGAGGCCACGCACCGCACCTTCTACTCCACCACCCACGGGGCGCTGCTCTCGGGGTGGCGGGAGGCCGAGCGGCTCAACCAGCTCTTCCAGGCGCCCGTGCCCGCGCCTCAGTCGTGAGGCAGCGAAATAAACCGCGGTGCTTTGCCCTCCGCTCTCCTTTATTGAGACACCTCCGCGCCGGCGGCTGCCTCCTCTGCGTGGCGTGGCGTGGCGGGGCGGGCTGCGCGGTGCGTTTAATACCAGTTGGTGCTGGAGATGGTGTAGCGGGGGTCGTCCAGCGGGTCCTGCGTCGGGCCCGGCCGCGGGGCAGCCTCCGGGCCGGGCGGGCGAGGGGGTTGAGGCTCAGAAGCGGCGGCACGGGGAGTGCCGGGGGGCGTGCCGGGGCCCGCGGGGGGCACGCCGTGAGCCCCGGCACTCCCAGTGCCGCCGGGAGGTGCGGCCGAGCCCCGCTGCGGCCCCGGTGGCGGCGGCGGCTCCGCCATGGCTGTGGCTGAGGCGGCTTCCGGTCGCGCGGGAAGTGACGCGGGCAGCCATGCGGGTGTGGGCCGCGCTGAGGGCGGCGGGGACGGGCCCGGCCGCGTTCCGGGAGCGCTTCGAGTTCGGCGGCCGCGATGTGGCCTCGTGGTTCCCGCGGCACATGGCGAAAGGTGAGGGGCGGCAGCGCGGCGGGTCGAGCTGCCCGCCGCGGCCGCCGAGCGCTCACCGCGCGCCGCGCTGTGTGTGCTGCAGGCCTGCGGCAGATGCGGCTGGCGCTGCGCCGCGCCGACTGCCTGGTGGAGGTGCACGACGCTCGAATATCCTCCACGGCTGCCGGGGAACCCTTCCCTTGTCCCTCCAGAGCGCCCTTGCCCCTCTGCACCTCCCCTCCGTCCCCCTCCCGCTACGCTGTTGCAGTCAGTGTCCTTAGCGCAGCCACATCCCGCTGTCGGGCCGTAACCCCGCGCTGCAGGAGGCGCTGGGCATCCGCCCCCACGTCCTGGTGCTGAACAAGATGGATCTGGCTGATCCCCGGCGGCAGCCGGTGAGCGCCGGGGCAGGGCCGGGCGGGGGCAGCGGCGGTGTCACCCGCAGGTGACAGCGGTGCCTCTTCCCGTGCCCTGCAGGCGGTTCTGGAGCAGCTGAGGCAGCAGGGATGCTCGCACGTCGTCTTCACTGACTGCCAGCACGATGTCAACGTCAAGAAGGTAGTGGGGCAGCAGCCCAGCCCTGCTCCCCGGTGAGCTCCCAGCCCCTTGGAGAGCCCTCGGTGACAGCCCTGTCCCTCTGCAGGTTGTCCCCGTGGTTGCCAGGCTGGTGGCCGATGGCCCACGCTACCACAGGGCCGAGGTGAGGCACTGCACAGGGGTCACAGAATGTCCTGGGTTGGAGGGGACCCACAAAGAGCATCCAGACCCCACACAGGCACCCCAACAATCCCACCCTGGGCATCCCTGGAGCAGTGTCCAAACCCTCCTGGAGCTCTGGCAGCCTCAGGGCTGTGCCCATTCCCTGGGGACCCTGGGCAGTGCCCAGCACCCTCTGAGGGAAGCACCTTTCCCTGATCTCCAACCTGGCCCAGCTCCAGCCATTCCCTGGCCCTGTCCCTGTCACAGAGCAGAGCTCAGGGCTGCCCTGGGGAGGAGCTGCAGCCCCTGGTGAGGTCTGACCTGCTCCAGTTTGTTTGGGAACAAACCAAATTCCCTCAGCCAGCCCCCGTGTGACCCTCCAGACCCTTCCCCATCCTTCTGTCCCTCCTTAGGACACTCCCTGGCAGCTTCACATCTCATTTATATTGTGGTGCCCCAAAACTGCCCCCAGTGCAGGAGCTGAGGGTGACCCCCCTCTCCAGCCACGGCACAAGGCTGCTCCCACGTGTGCCAGAAGTGCCTGGCAGGGCAAACACTGGGATGTTTCCCTGTGCCAGCTGCACGGGGGTGGTTGGTGACCAGCTGCTCCTTGCCCGTGTCCCCCTGGCTTGCAGAGCTGCGAGCACAACATCCTGGTGATCGGCGTGCCCAACGTGGGCAAGTCCTCGCTCATCAACTCCCTGCGGAGGCTGCACCTCAAGAAGGGTACTCCTGCAGGGTGCCAGGGCTCGGGGAGCAGCGGACATGGTGTCACCTGTGTCCCTGAGCGTGTCTGTGCCCCCAGGCAGCGCCACCGCGGTGGGGGGCGAGCCAGGCATCACCAAGGCAGTGCTCTCCAGGATCCAGGTACTGTCCTGCCTCCAGGCTGGTCTTGGAGGGTTGCTCATGTCCCCTTTGCAGCAAGAGCTTGACTCAAGCTCGGCGCGTGGCTCGTTAGCCGCGTGGCACTAATTGGCAGTGCTGGCAGGTGTGTGAGCAGCCCCGCATGTACCTGGTGGACACCCCCGGCGTGCTGCCCCCCCGCCTGGGGGACGTGGAGACGGGCATGAAGTTGGCACTGTGTGGTGAGCCAGAGCTGGGGTCACACAGCCCTGGAAGGAGGCTTGGCCAGGGCCCAGCAGGGCTCAGGGAAGCTGGGGTTGACCCTCTTTTCCAGGAGCCATCCATGACCACCTGGTGGGGGAGGACATCATGGCCGACTACCTGCTGTACACGCTGAACAAGCAGCAGCAGTTCAGGTGGGAGAAGCACCCGCGGAGGGTGGTGGAGATGCCGTGCCCAGGGGTTGTGGGGGTGTGAGCCGTGTCCTCTGGCAGGTACGTGCAGCACTACGGGCTGGGCCAGCCCTGCGACCGCATCGAGGCCCTGCTCAAGCACGTGGCCCTCAGCCAGGGCCGCACGCAGAAGGTGAAGGTGCTCACGGGCACAGGTGGGTGATCCGGGGTGCAGGGACGGGAGTGTTGGGGATCCCAGGGCAGCTCCAGGCTGTGCTGACACTCCTGTATCCACTGCCACCTCCAGGGAATGTCAACATGATGATGCTCAACTACCCAGCTGCTGCCTACGAGTTCCTGCGGGACTTCCGAGCAGGGCGCCTGGGCAGGGTGACACTGGACTGACACCTGTCACTGGCCAGGCACTGCCGGCAGCCCTGGGGACTGGGGACACCTCGGCAGGGAGCTGTGGGGTGTGATTAAAGCCCTCTGCCAGCGCTGTCCCCGGATTTGGGCAAGAGGCCGGAGGGACAGGATGCCCTGTGGTGTCGCTGTTGCGATGCTCGCATGGAGAGCTGTGCCCGCCCCGGAGAGCCCGGGGCAGGGCTGGTGCCTCCGGCTGGCACCTGGAAGCTGCCAGGGAGCCGCTTCCTCGCCAGGGAGCTGTTTCCTCCCTGGGTTTGGCCTGCTGTGGAGCTTCCATCCCGAAATAAAGCTTGTGTGGGCAGGGGCCGGGCGCTGGCCATCCCAGGGTCCCGCCCCTCGCCCCGCATCCAGCCACACCTTCTTTCGCCCAATTTTATTGCCGCCTCCTCGGCCTCCGGACACGGCGAGGCCACGGACGGGGGCGCGGTGCAGAGGGTGCCCGAGCCGGCGGGGTTCGGCTCGGTGCGGAGGGGTGGTGCTGGAGGGTCTTCCGCGGGGGTCCTGCCCCGCCGGCGGTGGGTGGCCATCGCCCCGGGAGCCGCTGCTCGCCCGGGGCATGGGGCTCAGCCCCGTGCGGGGCGGCCGGTCCTCGCGGCGTCCTGGGTGCACCGGGCACAGTCAGGTCCCCCGAAATCCATCAGCGGCGGAGGAGGGCGGCCAGCGGGCAGAGCCAGGGCAGCGCCCGGCTCGGCGGGGTCCCGGCGGGCGCGGCGGAGGTCCAGGCGCTGGCGGCCGCCGTCCAGTTGCCGTCGCGGTACTCGACGCCGTCTGCCGCTTGCAGCTCTCCGGACAGCCGGGCCCGGCGCAGAGCCGCCCCCGCCGCCACGCCGGCC